CAAAAGTATTTTTTGTAGGGGGTAGAGAGGAAAACATTTAGGTATGTAATATTATTATTTAATAAATGTGTGAAGATTTGATATAATGTATTAATCGTCCTAAATTGGTATATCTTATTTGTGCCAGAAATTATGTGTTTTATATGTATCATTACATATACATGAAGATATGTATTAATTATAACATTAAAAATGAAAAGCTTTGTGTTTTATGGGGCAAATTTAAATATTTACCATCTTACCCCGAGTATTAAATGAAAGTTAATTATAAATATAATTTGAGGTGCAATGATAGTATTCACATTTGATCTTTACGGGTGAGATTTGGTCTAGGAGATTGGTGAGACGGACTTAAAACATAATAATTTGATTGGGTTTCAAATAAAAGATTAATTAATATATCATTTGATCGTAATTAATTATCATTCTAAGCGGACTGTTCTAGTTATTGTAGGGGAGAGGGTTTATATTTAATTAAATTTTATGAATATTTAATATATGGAAGGGGGGGGGAGTGGTTTAATACATAGATTATGGGTCTCGAATAATAGTTAAATAATATCTTTTGTATATAATGCTCTCTAAATGAGCGAGTTTTAAGTCTTGGAACAGGAATTTTATTAAATGTTTTATACTGCATATATATTAAATGTGGGCACTTAAAGCTAATTATGGTATTATTTACATTAGATTAAAATAGGTGGGATTAGATGTGACAGTTAGGGAGGGGGCTGGATTGTGATCAAATATTTTTGCAAATATGTTATTATTTTTAAATCGTAAGAAGCTATATTTAAAACAATCGCCCCGTAACATTTAATAATCTAAGTAATTAAACTACCTTACATGTAAATCATATATAAGAATCATATCGCCCTGAGTGGTTTTAAAACCCAGTATCAATTGAGGATAACCTTTTTTATCACCTTTTCGAAATCGAAAATATATAATATTGTAATAAATAGATAAATATATTTTTTTTTTAATTGATCCCTCTGAGATTGTAAAGGCTAGTTACTCCATTGAATTATTTCACCACTATATAAAATAATGTTAAATGTTAAAAAATGTAAAAATCAAAAAATCAAAAAATTATTTTATTGATAAAAACTTATAGTATTTGGACAAAATTTTAAATTTAATGTTGTATGTACTTTGTATAAAGCATAGTTTGAAGTAACTAGTAAAGAAGAAAAAATATATATAAAATTTAAAGGTTTGTTATCATAAACTTAGATATTTAAATCATAATTTACTAATCCTTTTATTATGCGTTGTCATACATATGCTCCCAATTTACATTTATAATAACATAATAAAAAATTTTATTATTAAAAAAAATTTAAGTGGAAAATTAAAAAGTAAAATTATTAAAAATATAAAACTTTCTTTTTAGAATTAACATCTTCGAAATATCCTCATTTACATAGTCTATAATATTTAACTTACATGACATTTCTTATAATGACATTAGACAATATTTATATAAAATTAATTTGAATATTACAACATACCTAATTTATAAATATTCTGAATTACCATCAAATTGCAATTTAATGTATTGTAACATTTTGAACAATTAAAATAAGAATTGGAAGATTATAATCGTTGTTAAATAAGAAAGGTTAGAATAAAAGATACTAAATCAGACTAATATCCTCGTTAGAACTAAACTGATACTAAATCAGACTAATATCCTCGATTATATATATTTTTCTATAATATTCGTCAAATCAGAAAAGTTAGAACTAAAATGATACTAAATCTTTATTAAATAATAAGTTAAAAATATAATCAAACTAAATTAATTAAAAAAATTTAAAATAATCAAAAATTAAAATTAAAAATTATAATTAATTTCGTAAAATCATGATCTCCGTTTATACAAATATCCTCGAATATATATATACTTTTCTATAATTCATTTACATAATGTTTTAGAAACAAACTGAAAAAAATCTTGAACTTTCTTTAATTTGAATAATCATTCTTTTTTATTCCTCTTTCTTTAAATCATTTGCATTCGAAATTTAATTCTTTTTTCTTGAGTAGATTTGAATATCCTTCGGCTTTGTAATTTGGTTTAACAATTACAACACCCTTCCACTTAGATTAGTCCCACCATTCTGCGAGTAAGGCATGGTTCCCGATACATTCTTCTAGCTCCTTTAATTATATCTCGTTTTACTCCCACATTATCCTAGTCTTTGCTTGTTTCTAACTGTTTCTAGTAACTAATGACGGTAAACCACTGACGATAATTTGTCTGCGAGTAACGATGGTTTCCACGACTTTTTGTTCGATTTTTTATCTTATACTAAATTTTTGATAAGCAATTGGCTATAATTTGTCAACGATTAACGATAGCATCCTGGTCTTCTTGTCAATATATCCACTTTGCCTTAAGATCTCTTATACGATAATGATTTCTTGTATCTTTTGATCCAAAATAAAAATCCGATCTCTAATTGAGCTCGATTGCGGCATAAATTTTCTAATGACGAAAAGCCGTTTCTCTTTATGAAGATTTTTTGGTTAATCAACAACCTGATAGTTTGCTAAATATTATCAACTTAAATAACAGTCAACCATATATCTTTAATAAAAATTTATAACGAATTTCTTTTAGCTACATCGATTACTTGTACGTATAACGATCTCTTGTGACGAATTCCTTTTAATTAAACGACTAATTCTATTCTTTTTCGAATTACGACCATTGATATTGACACCATGTTTCATTGACCTAATTCTTTGTCTTAGTGTCGATAGTCATCTCATACATCCCATTTGGACCGAAGTAAATCAGGGCCTGTTAGATATTCACGTAGGAATTCAAAGGTAAAAACAAATCTATTTTATGTTATGTAAATTATTATTACTTTTATTTATTATAGTAGTAATTTTATATTTATACAATTTTTTTAAATTATTTAAAATTATTTTAATCAAGTGGTTATTGAGTACACTTTAATGTATATTACGCAAATAAATTTATTAAGTTTAATACTTGAAAATATAAGTATAATTATATTTTTGGTGCTAATTTTAAGTTTCACGTTAGGTTTAATTATAGGAAGAAATACGACTTACGTTAAGATAGAGATTAAAGAGTTAGAAAATATTAAGAATATATTAAGAGAGGAAGATAAGAAAAGAAATATAAACAACTTCATACGAACGGATAATTACAGACAGATAATTTGCTATAGTTGTGGTCAGCCGGGCCACATGTCGCGCCAGTGTGAGATAACGAAGAATCTAAGATGCGCGAGGTGTGGCAAGAATGGCCATGTGGCTATAAGTAGCAGAGTAAACAATTCAATTGTAAGGTGCAATAATTGTGCCCAAGAAGGACACACACAAGAAAATTGCAATAAATGACTAAGAGAGAAATATTTTAATTTTAATGATAAATTTTGTAAGGATAATAATTTTTCTAATGTTGATAATTTTAATTCAGGTAATAAATATGTTATTTTGAATGATAAATTTTGTAATGATAATAATTTTTCTAAGGTTGATAATTTTAATTCAGGTAAGAATAAATATTTTAATTTTAATGATAAATTTTGTAATGATAATAATTTTTCTAAGGTTGATAATTTTAATTCAGTTAAGAATAAATATTTTAGATAATAATTTTTCTAATGTTGATAATTTTAATTCAGGTAAGAATAAATATTTTAATTTTAATGATAAATTTTGTAATGATAATAATTTTTCTAATGTTAATAGTTTTAATTCAGGTAAGAATAAATATTTTAATTTTAATAATAAATTTTGTAATGATAATAATTTTTCTAAGGTTGATAATTCTAGTTCAGGTAAGAATAAATATTTTAATTATAATGATAAATTTGGTAATGATAATAATTTTTTTAACGTTGATAATTTAGTAGAAAATAAGAATAAAGATTTTAATTTTAATAATGATAAGTTGGATAATGTTGATAATGCTAGTGCAAGTAAGAATAATTATGGTAATAAGAACGAGAAATTTTGCGATGATAAAAAGTGCTTTAACGTTGATAATTATAATTCAAGCGATATTAATAGAAGTGATATAAAGATAAAAAGTAGAGATTTTGAAATATATAATTAAAAAGGCAACTAGGGTAGACGTACTAAAAATGGAATTAGAGAATTTTTTAATGAAAAATAGATGCCCTAGAGTAAAGATAAACATGGAGGAAGCAGAAATTTGTTTTTTATTAGATACAGGAGCAGAAATTAGTTTAATAAGTATAAAGGATTTTATGAGATTTTGGCCAGAGAAAGAGTTTGTTACTAAAAAATAAAAGCCAAACAATTGGATGGTAGCATGGTGAAAATTTTAGGGTATTATAGGGTAAGGTTACCAAGAGTTAATAAAAGTATAAATTTGTGGATAACGACGTTGAAGATTGAACCGATTTTAGGATGGGATGATATAAGAACGTTAGGTCCAGTTTATAATTGGTGGAAATTTTTCGATACTATCCCTGTAAGTAATGATGAAAATAGTGAAAGGATAGATTTCGATAGATTTAAGTTACCTATTATAGAGGATAAACAAGAATTAGTTCTCGATAAACTTAGAAATCGAACACCAGAATTTTTGATTAAATATAGAAGCAACTTAGAAGAAAATAAGAAAACAAGAGATACAAAGACAATAGAGGTAAATTCAGTCGAAATTAAACAAGAAATTAATAATATGGTAGACCAGAATGTTGTTGAAGATATTGTTGACAAAGAAATAAAGATTATTTTGAATAGGTATAATGAAGTCTTTAAAGAAGAATTAGGTACTCTGAAAAATTTTGAAGTAGATATACGATTAGAAGAAAATTATAGGCCTAAGTTTTGCGGCATAAGAAGATTACCGTTTTCCTGGATAGAAGAGATAGATAAAGAATTAGATAAATGGTTAAAAGACGGAATAATAAAACCAATAGTGCATATTGAATGGGCAAC